TTTAAGAGTTTCACAACCTCCTGATATTTGAGAGCTCTTTCAAAAGCCTCCCCACTTAAAATGGCATAAATAACGTTTATGCACTAACTGAAGACAATAAGATAAAACTAAAGCTAGTAGGTTCTTCCTGGATATGTAACAACTATTTTCTGCCTCAGTATGGAGAGGTTAAGATACATTTCTTGGAGTGTTCTAGTATTATTTTTCTGTCAGGGGAGTTTTCTCTACCACCGTGTTTTTATTTATTACGTTAAAGCTTGTAATGTGCTATAGTGGTGGGAGAACAGGAGTAAACCAGTGATGACACAAATACTTCCATAGAAAGTGTAAATGATTAGATCCAGAATTAAGAGCTGTGAATGAAATAAAAGACTTGGTGATGCAGACTTTCTTGAAGAATAGTGTGAAGCACTGTTCGCTCCTTGTAAAATCTTAACTGGATTTTCTCAAAACTGCATAGAATTAGGTAACTTCTGTGTTCTGATTGTAAATGTGGCCTGAAGTAACATTTTACTGGACCGCAAATTGTTCTGACTACTTTCATGCCTGATAAAATCCTTACATTTATTGCAGAAAATGTAAGCCCTTGTTCCGTAACTAATCTTTTAAGTTTTCTGAAAGAGTGAAGTCTTGAATAGTCTTCCTAGAAATATGGCATGATTGAAAGTATCATATTGTTCTTTGCAAATAGGATAGTATAATTAAGGATTTTGGTAACAGTAACCTTGGAATGAGTCTTGAGATAAATTTTATAGGATATACACAGATGTGAGTACATATATACATATCCACTTGAGCCTTGAACAATGCAGGGGGTGGGAAATTAACCACCACCCCCCCACCCCTGCCCAGTTGAAAATCTGTGTACTTTTACTTCCCTAAACCTTAACTACAAATAGCCTACTGTTGACTGGAAGGCTTACTGATAACGTAAACAGTAGATTAAGACATGTTTTATATGTTATATGTATTATATGCTGTATTTTTATACTAAACTGAAGGAAAGAAGATGTTATTAAGTAAATCATAAAGGATAGAAAAATGCATTTTCTCTTCATTAAGTGAAACTGGACCATCACAAGGGTCTTCATCCTCTTTCTCTTCACACTGAGTAGACTGAGGAGGAAGAGGAGGGGTTGGTGTTGTCTCAGGGATGGTAGAGGCAGAAGAGTTGGGGGAGGTGGGAGGGGAAGTAGGCATATTGTGTAATTCTTTTATGGAAAAATTTCCATGTATAAGTGGATCTGCACAATTCAAATATGTGCTGTTCAAGGGTCAACTGTATTTTAAGATAATGTTATAAATCAATGTGTGTTTGTACATATCTGTGAACATCTCTCTAGATGTCTAGATTTCAACAGATGTAAATACATTTGTTTAACGTTCCAATGGTAGTATAGTTATAACTATTGTGTAACACCAAAGAATGCTGACTTAGAGGCTGAAATGTACCATCATTGCCTATGTCTACTGCATACACAAAAATGTTTTGAAAATTTGTTTCAACTCTTCCTAGTGAGAGGGAAAAAGATACGATTGAAAGAATGTGTACTTCAGAGTCAGACATATCTGTGTTCAACTCTCTGCTCCATGTCTTCCAAATTTTGTAATCTTGATTTAGGTAAATTTTCTAACAAACTCTGAGACAATGCCCAGTGTATTACCTGCATGCCAGACATTATTTTCTGCACTTACTGTATAAAAGCAGCCATATCAGATCCTGATGAGGAGACAGTTATCCCAGGCAAAGGTAATGACCCTTCTTGCTTCCAGTCTCCTGGCATAGGAGCCCAAAGTAATCTGATGTAGGATATAGCTTGAAGCTTAATGAGATTCCTACTGTGTCCCCTCTCAGAGGCAGTGTCCCCTCTTGGAAGCAGCCTCCCTTTGAAAGCTAGAATCTCTAGACCCACAAAGCCTAAACTTTTGTGAACAGGAAATGCAAATTTCCCCATTTAAGACTGTGGGAGTGATACAAAGTTCAACTACTCTTATGTTTTCCCCTTTGTTCCTAGACTCATCTATTCTGTCTGTCGGAGATGCAGTATCAAAGAATAGTCATTGATATAGAGTGTTTTCCACATCCTTTAGGATAGTACCTCCACATTGCACATGGCATCTCCAAGCTGGAGCTTCAGTTGCATTCCCATCAAAAGGCTGTTCCATCACTCATCAGGCCAGCATCTTCTGTGGCATGCAGTGTGTACCAGGACAAGTGGACCTCATGATTATGCACCCACTGTTCTACTTCAGTCCGAAGTAGTCCCGTTGGTTTGGATGATACTATGCAGTATCATGTATTCACATATCAGGCACTCTGTAGGCCCTCAGATCTTGGTGCTGAGCAAGGCCCTACAGGCATGTAAGGCAAACCCTTGTTTGGAATGGACTCACTTCTGGTCAGAATGAATTACTGCTCCTTCTAAGGTGGAAGAGGTCTGATGTCATAATCAGCTTACTACCGAGTGGCCGGCTGAACCAGAGAATAATACTGAATTGAGACCCAGCATCTACCCCTGTTGTTATTAGGTTGAACAGAGCTCAACTACACTTTTCAAGTATGGAAAATTGTAAATGGATTATTGAGCTGCCCCATTGAAGCAGATGGATGCTGCCGAAGGAGTGGAGAGGAGCTTGCTTTGAGGGTGTGTGTGTGTGTGTGTGTGTGTGTGTATGCATGTGCATGCATGTGTATGTGTGATAAGGGGTTGGAATTTCTTGGGTGGGGTGTTAGAAATATAACAAAGTTGAGAAAAGGTCGTAAGCTGTACAAAATGGTTTAAAAACTCACTAATTTATACACTTTGTCCTTATCTTTTTAATTTCCTGTTTTTGTTTGCCTTCAGTTTCTGAGTTTCTTTTTAATCTTACTTTACTTTTGGTCAAGATGGATCAATTTGTCAAATTAAAAGACCATAGGCTAACTTGGTAAATTTGGGTAAATAAATGACTTTTGTGAGACTCAATTTTCTTATTTGTAAAAGTGGAGTAAAATGGTTGCTATAAAATTTTAAAACCTGCTTATAAATTGCTTCTACATGGTGGATGATCAATAGTTGCCTATCAATATTGAAACAATCCTAAACAATCACTGCTAAGGAGGAAAGGATAGGGCTTTTATCCTTGTTTGGGGTCTGGTTGTGAAGATCTGGCAAGCTGGAAGGAAGCAGGCAGTGAAGTGAGTTACTGGAGGTCTGCCTCCCATTTTTTCCAGGGGCCTACCTCAGGAGGTGTTTCAGTGATTGGCCTTGCGTTTTGTTTGGTTTTTGCTTTCTTTTTGAAATAGTATAATTTTTGCATTTATTTTTGGATGTCCTTCTATGTTTTTACACTTTTAAAAACTTGTTTTTTCTGCTTGGTAAAAAAAAAAAAAGCATGATTACTATAAACACTTAAAGCATAATATTCTTGTATCATGGAGGAAAAAAGTTCCCTCTTCAACCTCTTGTTAAAAGGTTACTTTAAGTGTCTGATAGCTATTCCTTTAGATTTGTTTCTATGCACAATTGGATATCTCACACACACACACACACACACACACACACACACATATATATACACACATAT